TGATTAAATTTAGTATATTATAATTTACTGAGCTGAGGAGAAGGAACTAAAGTTTAATGTAAGGAAATAATAGATAGGATAAATAATAACTTTAATCCTAATTTTCCTCCAATTCTTTAATTAATTTTCTATAATATTTTAACTTTATACTTTGTATTTAATTAAACATTAGTTGGTGGCAGATATAGCAGGCAGCACTACCCTCCCTTGCTCACTCCATCTCAGTGGACGTCATAGTAGATATTATGTAAGCCAACACCTTAAATCAAGAAATGGCTTTCTATGATCTACAGAGATACTCGCAGGAACACTTCAGCAAGTGAGAGTCCAAAAGTGGCGAGAGAAAACTTGGAACCTCAATCAGTGACTGATACCAGATGAGAGACTCCCTCCTGGGCACACAGAAGACTGGGGGACTTGGAAGTTGCTTAACAGACTACTCTGACACCACGATGTGCAGAGCCAACCTTAAGAAATGGGGCCACAAAGTGGAGTCCACAACATGTGAGTGTGGAAAAGAGCAAACCAAAGACCACCTATTACAATGCAACCTGAGCCCTTCCACATGCACAATGGAGGACCTTCTCACAGTGACACCAGAGGCACTTCAAGTGGTCGGCTTCTGGTCAAAGGACATTTGGTATAATACCAAATTTTAACTTTGTGTTTTTAAATACATTATAACTGTTACCCTCAACTCGCTTCTGACATGATAAATAAATAAATAAATAAATAGTAGATAGTGCTCTTGGCTACCCTATATAAGTATAAGTTTTACTCAAAACGTCACCCTCAAAAAACTTGGCCAATTTATCCATGGACCAACATGACTATTGCATTGATGCTCTCCTCTCTTCACAGAATTACTCTTGACTTATAAACCTCAAGTCATTTCAAAATCCATACTTTTGGCCCCCAAACCTGTTTTTTACCTTTATATGAGGTCAACATACATGAGTATATATGGTAGATTAAAAGTATCACCCACTTTCTTGGCCCACCCACTCATCCTCTTTCACAGGACAGTGAAACAATCAAGATTCACTTGTGGATGCATGGATAATGCATCCACCCCTTCTTCCTCTTGTTTACATGCTTAGACTTCTTGCATGTACTGTAAATATAGGGACAGGGCCCAGTTACACTCACACCCCCCCCATCCCCTGACCCCCAATCGTGTTTCCCTTTGAGAGAAGATGAATTGTTGCTTCCTTTGAATGACATTGCTGGGTCTCATCCCTCACGCTACACAATTCAAGATGAAAGTAAAAGCACAGGTAGGCCCCTCCTAAAAAAGAGGATGCATGAGGATGTGCCCTACCAGAAAGAGATGCCAGATACACTATCAGAGGCATTTGACATAATTGTTTCCCAATCCTTGCTGGAAATACAAAGAAACCCAGAGTGGTTGTGTAGAGGTAGCTGCTTCTCCTCCAGGAAGAATTACTTGCTCACACATACTCTCTCTCCTTAGGGCAGGGAGGATGATGATTTTGGTAGGCCCGGTCTGCAACACGACACCATTCAGAGAGTAAGTGTGTGCACAGGTGAAAAGGTAATAGGATGAGGTAGCTTATTCCAAGATTATTAACTGTTTTTGTAGCCCTACCCAAAAGAGGGAAGATGTGAGTGGCTGCTTGCACTTTCTAAATGGCACTGGGGCGCAACTCTACCCTCCGGGCAACTCAGGGTGCATCTAAACTCTGTAGAATAAATGCAGTTTGACAACTGTCGGAGCTCGATGTTATGGAATCATGGGAGCTGTAGTTTAGTGAAGTACTGGGACTCTTTTGCAGAGAAAGCCAAAGTCCTTGTAAAATTAAACTCCTGTGATTTGACAACATTGAGCCATGGCAGTTAAAGTGATGTCAAACTGCATTCATTCTACAGTATAGAAAGGGCAAGCTGAGACTGAGATTTCTGGTGACTCTTTTGTGCAGCAAGGCATGGACAAATGATGGTTTCCATGCCCTTTGCAAACTCATCTGGTTTCTCCCTCCTGAACAAAATCACTTTTTCCTGTCTTACAGTACTAGCTCACAAAGCCTGAAAAGCAATACAATACTGTGGCCTCCTTATCCTCATGATTCCTAAGGAAAACTCAACTCTCCACTCCCACCTCCCTATTGAGGAATTAATCTGTCAATCCAAGTTGCCCACAATGATATATGCAGCCAACGAGTGCAACTACACCATAGAATTAATACAGTTTGTCTCAACTTTAACTGCCATGACTCAATGCTATGGAATCATGAAAGCTGTACTTTTACAAGGTCTTTAGCTTTCTCCACCAAAGAGTGCTGGTCCTTCTTCAAACTACAACTCCCAGGATTTCATAGCATTAGTCATATCAGTTAAAGTGGTGCTGAACTGCTTTAATTCAACAGTGTAGATACACCATTACTCTAGCAGCACCAAAAGCCCAAAACTACAAAAGATTATTGTAGCCTCCATATCCCATGACTCCAAGGGAAATTCAGCTGTGTCTCTGGCAAACATTTTTGCATCTCTCCCCTCAGCACCATAAACACTGCATACTGTTGGTAACAGATGTGTATAAATGGGTAGTGTTCAGAAACCTTCTACTGTTACCAAATTTTGTGCGAACCAACATTGAATGAAGGGGACCAAATTTGGAGTCAGGACCCACAATTTAAGGTCCTCTAGTTATTTTGGACTTCAACTCCCTGAAATCCCAGCCAGCTTACCAGCTGTTAGGAATTATGGGAGCTGAAGTCCAAAACTCCTGAAGAGCCAAAGGTTGGGAACCACTACCAGAGCCACAAAAAAATGGCAAATCCAAGATTTCTGAAGGCCACCCATTTATTTACACACATCTGTTAGCAACAAGGTTGCAAATGTTTACAGTGGCCTCTGCAGAAAATACTTCTGCTGTACTCTACAAAGAGGAAGCTTTGCAAGTGCTGACGTAGTATCAGAAAGTGTTTACAATTTATATCTACCATATTTACCCGAGCCCAATGTGCTGTCAAATCTAATGGGCACGTCAATTTTCAAAACCCCAAAACAAAACAAAGAAAGAGTAGTTGCCGGCAAATGTAACTTCGTGCACTTTTTGTAATTTAGCCATTACAGTTGCTGCCTGCTTAGAATTCCTTCTTTAAAAACAAAGTTTCCAGCGACGGAAAAGAAAACTTTGGGGTGTATCTCTGCTGTAGAATGAATCCACTTTAACTGCGTTGGTTCAATGGTATGGAGTCATGGGAGCTGCAGGTTGACATGGCCTTGAGCCTGCTCTGCCAAAGAATGCTGATGCCTCGCCTAACTACAAATCCCAGCATTGCATAGCATTGAGCCATGGCCATTAAATTAGAGATGAGGTCCCTCAAAGAGGAACTCTTGAAGCAGCTTCCCTTTTGACTTTGGCACAGCACTAAGATTACAGTGGTGTCACACAAATCTAATGTGCACCCCAATTTTAGCATTGTTATTCAGCCCAAAAAAGGTGAGCATTAGATTTTTATTTATCGTGTCAGAAGCAAATTGAGGGTACAGTTGTAATGTATTTAAAAACACAAAGTTTAAAAACTTGACATTATACTAAATGTCTTTTGACCAGTCGCTGGCTACTTGGAGTGCCTCTGGTGTTGCTATAAGAAGGTCCTCCATTGTGCATGTGGCAGGGCTCAGGTTGCATTGTAGTAGGTGGTCTGTGGCTTGCTCTTTTCCACACTCACATGTTGTGGACTCCACTTTGTGGCCCCATTTCTTAAGGTTGGCTCTACATCTCATGGTGCCAGAGGGCAGTCTGTTCAGCACCTTTCAAGTTGCCAACTCTTCTGTGTGCCCAGGAGGGAGTATCCCATTCAGTATCAGCCATGGCTTGAAGTTCCGGGTTTGAGCCTGCCACTTTTGGACTCTTGCTTGCTGAGATGTTCCTGTGAGTATCTCTGTAGATCTTAGTATACTATTTCTTAATTTAAGGCGTTGCCGTGGCTGGCTGATATCTGAACAGATGGTGGACTAGATATCTCAGTGCTTGGTCCTTTCATTATTGGCTGCTACTTCCCAGCGAATGTCAGGAGGTGCAGTACCAGCTAAACAGTATAATTTCTCCAGTGGTGTGGGGCATAGACATCTATGATATTGCGGCACGTCTCATTAAGAGCCACATCCACTGCTTTAACGTGAGATGTATTCCATACAGGGCATGCGTACTCAGCAGCACAGTAGCAAAACGCAAGGGCAGATGTCTTCACTGTGTCTGGTTGTGAACCCCAGGTTGTGCCAGTCAGCTTTCGTATGATATTGTTTCTGGTGCCCACTTTTTGCTTGACATTTAAGCAGTATTTTTTGGAGCATGGTCCAGGGGAACTCCCAAGTATTTGGGTGTGCTGCAACGCCAGGTCATCCTCAGAGCTTGAGATGCATTAGATTGACTCCAGCATTAGATTTGAGGAGTGGAATGGGGTCACAAGTAGGTGGGGGGGACTTATTCATGAGTACATAGGTCAGGCATGGGGAAACTTGGGCCCTCCAGGTGTTTTGGACTTCAACTCCTACCGGCTGTTAGGAATGGTGGGAGTTGAAGTCCAAAACACCTGGAGGGCCCAAGTTTCCCCATGCCTGATTTAGGGGATTTGTCCCCATCTTCTGTGAGTTATCTGTCCTGCTTTGAAACAGGGAAAATGCAGGCGAGGGTCAGCTTGGGCAGCTGGACCCAGAAATAAACAGACTCCTCTCTCTCTCTCTCTCAATCTGTCTCTCTCTCTCTCAAATCTGCAAAGCTTCACGGGGAGTTAGTTAAAAGCGGCTCCGGTTGTTGTTGTTCCATTCCTGCGCCCGGGCTGTCACTCGGGACACGGGAAGCCCCAGCTGTCCCCAAGCAGCGGCTCCGAGGCGCCACGGATCCCCTCCCCGAGACCTCCCCCCATAACTAGACCACAAGGAAGGGAGGGAAGGAAGGAATGAAGGAGGGAAGGAAGGAAGGACTTTGCGGGACGCTTTCTCCTCCTGAGGCGCGTTTGGGGAGCGCTTACCCGCTGCCTCCGAGGCTCCTCCGTCTCCCATCCCGAGTTGCGCTTTGGGGAGGCGACCCTTCTCCTCCTCCTCCTCCTCCTCCTCTTTCCTCCAGCCTCTGACCCACCGAGAGAGGCTCTGCCTCTTTCCGCCCGAAGAAAAGGAACAGAAAAGGGAGGAGGAGGAGAGCCAGGCGGAGGCTGCCAAGAGAGAGGCGGGAAGAGCAGGCAAAGCTCTCCAGAGCCTGGCCCCTCGCACATCCAGACCGAACATCAACCCACATGCTTGACTTGACATGCAGGCAACACTTCTGGGAAATGTGCATATTCTCCGAAAATACCTCTAATACCCAATTCCCTTGGGAAGAGCCCGATATACAGAGGCGAATCCTAGACACTTGGAACTAATATGTATGTGTGCTGTGTTGTTATGTACCAATATATCTGTAATAATATAATACACTATAGAGCTACATTGTAGAACAGGCCTGGGCAACCTTGGGCCCTCCTTCCAGGTGTTTTGGACCCAACTCCCGCCATTCCTAACAGCCTCAAGTCCTTTCCTTTGCTCCCACCCCAATCGTTTAGAACAGACCTGGGCCAACTGAGGTCCTCCAGGTGTTTTGGACTCCAACTCCCACCATTCCTAACAGCCTCAGGCCCTTTCCTTTGCCCCCTCAATCGTTTAGAAGAGGCCTGGGCAAACTTGGGCCCTCCAGGTGTTTTGGACCAACTCCCGCCATTCCTAACAGCCTCAAGTCCTTTCCTTTGCTCCCACCCCAATCTTTTAGAACAGACCTGGGCCAACTGAGGTCCTCCAGGTGTTTTGGACTCCAACTCCCACCATTCCTAACAGCCTCAGGCCCTTTCCTTTGCCCCCTCAATCGTTTAGAAGAGGCCTGGGCAAACTTGGGCCCTCCAGGTGTTTTGGACTCTAACTCCTACATTCCTAACAGCCTCGGGCCCTTTCCCCCCCCCCCCCCCACCTCAGCCACTTAAGCCACACTTTAGATCAGGCCTGGGCAAATTGGGCCCTCCAGGTGTTTTGGACCCCAACTCCCACCATTCCTAACAACCTCAGGCCCTTTCCTCCCCCCCACCCTCAGCCACTTAAGCAGATCAGGCCTGGGCAAACTTGGGCCCTCCAGGTGATTTGGACTCCAACTCCCACCGTTCCTAACAGCCTCAGGCCCTTTTCTTTACCCCCTCGGCCACTTAAGCTACACTGTAGATCAGGCCTGGGCAAACTTGGGCCCTCCAAGTGTTTTGGACTCCAACACCCACCATCCCTAAAAGCCTCAAACTTGGGCCCTCCTTCCAGGTGTTTTGGACCCAACTCCCGCCATTCCTAACAGCCTCAAGTCCTTTCCTTTGCTCCCACCCCAATTTTTTAGAACAGACCTGGGCCAACTGAGGTCCTCCAGGTGTTTTGCACTCCAACTCCCACCATTCCTAACAGCCTCAAGTCCTTTCCTTTCCTCCCTCAATCGTTTAGAACAGGCCTGGGCCAACTTGGGCCCTCCAGGTGATTTGGACCCCAACTCCCACCATTCCTAACAGCCTCAGGCCCTTTCCTCCCCCCCCCCCTCAGCCGCTTAAGCTACACTGCATATCAGGCCTGGGCAAACTTGGGCCCTCCATGTGTTTTGGACTCCAACTCTCATCATTCCTAACACCCTCCTCCCTTCCCCCCCCCCCCCCCCCAGCCGCTTAGGCTACACGTAGATCAGGCCTGGGCCAACTGGGGTACTCCATGTGTTTTGGACTCCAACTCCCTCCAGGCGTTTTGGACTCCAACTCCCACCATTCCTAACAGCCTCAGGCCCCTTCCTTTCCCCCCTCAGCCGCTTCATCCTGCTTGGCCCAGGGCTTCTTTCTCCAAGCCGGAGAGCTCCTCAGAGCCAAGGCTGTGATTCCAAGGGCAGGTTCAGCCTCAACGAGTGGGAGAAACAAGGGGGGCCCAAACTGGGTGCGGCTGGAACAACGATGAAGTCAATGCCTGGGAGCCAAAAAAGCCAGGAAACCGTCGTTGGCACACCAGAGGTGCCAAGACGAAGCTCTCAGCCCGTGTGGTGTAAACGAGGAGTGTTTAAAAACAAAAACAAATAAAAGTCCCTTCCAACTCTCCAGACTTCCCTTTTCCAAGGGGAAGATAAAAAAAAAAAACCCCTCGCATTGCTTCTCCGCCGAGGGCGTGGGCCCCTTTTGTCTCCAACGCCCACCAAGAAAGAAAGAAAGAAAGAAAGAAGAGCCTGAAACTCGCCAAAGCAGTACGCCTTGCTTGCTTGCTTGCTTGCTTGCTGCTGCCTTGATTCCCAAAGTCCCTCAAAGGCGGAGATGAACTCAGGATTGGAGAAGGGGAGAGGGGTCGCGCATCCACACTGTGGAATGAAATTGCAACTTGACATCGCTTTAAACTTCCCAGACTCACAAGCTGTTGTAGTTTGCCAGAAAGACAACTCTCAGAGAGGAGTCCACAGCCTAGAAACACTTCACAAGTTTCTCCAAGGACTTGTGTAGCAGAGAGTGCTGCTGGTGCCTCACCAAACTATTCTATATAACGGTAGCTGTACCCAGCCACGCGTTGCTGTGGCCCTCAGAAAACAGAGGAATTCCAGACATGAAACAGTCTGGGCCAGGTAACACCTCCCAACAAAGGTTTCCCGCAAGCAGGAAGAAGCCAGAGTTTGAAGCTGCAAGGCTATTCAATGGTACTCAAGGTGGGGTCAAGTTATTTCTCCCACCCTGGACCTTTCACAGATCTATAAAGGGAAGCCTCCCGCAGGATGGTAAAATATCTGGGCACACCCTGGGGAACATCCTTGGAGATGGCCAATTCTCTCACACCAGAAGCGACCCTGCAGCCTTTTTTCCCCCTTGCACAGGTGGGCCAGGGGAGTCGTTTTTGTACATGCGCTGTAATGTCTTTTAGTTTTTTTGAGTTTTTAAGTCCTTGTCGCTGTGGGTGGTTTGTGTGTGTGTGTGTGTTTATGAGTGATGGTCACTCCTTGGCCTGATAGGTGTTTTGTGTTCAAATTTCGGGTCAATCCGTTCCGTGGTTTTTGAGTTATCTCACAAATGAACATTACATTTTAATACATATTAGCTGTCCCCTGCCACACGTTGCTGTGGCCCAGTCTGGGGATCTGGAAAATAAAGGAATTAGAAAGTGTTGGTTTCTGATATATGTAATTTCTTTATGCTTGTGGGAAAACAGCATGTTTTGCGGTTTCTTTGTCAGTGTTGGTGTGGAGATTGTCTGGTTTGGCCACTCTGGAACATGTAACACATAATTGTCCTTCTTTAGGGATCCCTTTCAAATCTATGATACTATCTCTCTCTGTCTGTGTGTGAATCATCTATCTATCTATCCATCTATCTATCTATCTATCTATCTATCTATCTATCTATCTATCTATCTATCTATCTATCTATGGCTGGGTGGCTCTTTGTCAAGAGGGCTTTGATTATGTTTTCTTGCCCTGGTGAAGGGAGTTTGACTGGATGGCCTTAAGTATGGGAGTTCTGTGTGGGAAGTTTGCCCCAGTTCTGTCGTTGGTGGGGTTCAGCGTGCTCATTGATTGTAGGTGAACTATTAATCCCAGTAACTACAACTCTCAAACGTCAAGGTCTATTTCCCCCAAACTCCATCTGTGTTCATATTTGGGCATATGGAATATTCGTGCAAAGTTTGGTCCAGATCCATCATTAATTGAATCCACAATGCTCTCTGGATGTAGGTGAACTACAACTCCCAAACTTAAGGTCAATGCCCACCAAACCCTTCTAGTGTTTTCTGTTGGTCATGTAGGTGAAATACAACTCCCAAACTTAAGGTCAATGTCCACCAAACCCTTCTAGTGTTTTCTGTTGGTCATGAGAGTCCTGTGTGCCAAGTTTGGTTCAATTCCATCATTGGTGGAGTTCAGAATGCTCTATGATTGTAAGGAAACTATACATTCCAGTAACTACAACTCGCAAATGACAAAATCATTTTTTTTGAGTGATGGTCACTCCTTGGGTTAGTAGGTGTCTTGTGGCCAAATTTGGCGGCAATTCATCCAGTGGTTTTTGAGTTATGTTAATCCCACAAATGAACATTACATTTTTATTTATATAGACAGACTAGCCATCCACTCCCATGTGTTGCTATGGCCCAGTCTGTGTATGTGTTCTATGTGTGTATGTATGTGTATGTGTGAATATATGTGATTTTATGCATGCGTTGTAATGGGTTTTTTTTTGCTTTTAACATCTCTTCTGCTGTGTTTTCCAGTGTTTTTATGAGTGATGGTCACTCGTTGACCTGATAGGTATATTGTGTCCAAATTTGGTGTCAATTTATCCAGTGGTTTCTGATTTATGTTAATCCCACAAACGAACATTACATTTTTATTTATATAGATTGTGTGGGTTCAGACTGCATTCCTTCTACAGCAGGCCTTGGGCCCTCCAGGGGTCTGAACCCTCAGGTTGAGAAACACTGGCTTAAGCGATAGGCTGTTAGGAATGGTGGGAGTTGAAGTCCATGACTGCTCTATGCTGCTGAATTAATGCAGCTTGACACTGCTTTGACTGCCTCTAGGAGCAGCACTAGCACTCTTTGGCAAAGAGGGCAAATGACTTAGTAAATTACTGCCTACAACTCTGAATCCTTCCACACAGCTGAATAAAATCCCACATTTTTCTGCTTTGAACTGGGATATATGGCACAGCAGGTTAAACTGCTGAGCTGCTGAACTTGCTAGCCAAAAGGTTGGTGGTTCAAATCCGGAGAACAGGGTGAGCTCCCACTGTTAGGCCCAGCTTCTGGCAACCTAGCAGTTAGAAAACATGAAGATGTGAGTAGATCAATAGGTACCACTTCTGCATAGCAGTAACGGTACTCCATGCAGTCATGCTGGTCACATGGCCTTGGAGGTGTCTACGGACAATGCTGGCTATTTGGCTTAGAAATGGAGATGAGCACCACCCCCAGAGTCGGACATGACTAGACTTATGTCAATGGGAAACCTTTGTCTTTCCTATATGACAACGTGGACTCAGCTATTCCAGTTCAAATCAGATATTGTGTGTTATATGACTGTGTGGAAGGGCCCTCTCTTAGCACTGAGTCATAGCAGTTAAATAATAATGATAATCTTTATTTATATCCCGCTTTTCTCCTTAAC